TTCACTTTCAGCAAGCAAGGTTGTATCATCTGCATGTCACAGGTTGTTAATGAGTCTTCCTCCAATCCTAATGCCATGATTTTCTGCATAGTACCCAACATCTCAGATTATTTGCTCAGCATACAGGTTGAATAAGTATGGTGAAAGAATAATTAAATTGAAACATTATAGTAGAATCCTATATTAGAATAATTAAATTGAGATACTATATTAGAATAAATAATTGTTGTTATTGTTAGGTACCCTTGTGTCATCACTCACTCATCCCTCTGCACAATACAACAAAACACTGTCCAGTCCTGTGCAGCTCTCAAGATTGTTCTTATGTTTGAAACCACTGTTGCTCCCACTTTGTCAATCCTTTCATTCTGAGGCTTTTCTTTTTGACTTACCCTTCTCCAGGGATTGGTCCCTCTTGATAATATGTCCAAAGATTAAATATTAGTATTATTTTTAAGGAGATGCTAGATATTTAGTATTAGCTAAATGAATACCATAAGGATTACATGCTTTACAGTAAATGAAACACATTTTGATTTGTTATGCTTGTGTTTCTTCTATAGGATAAGGCGTATATCAGCAAAAAAACAAACAAACCCCAAAACCAAACGAAAACAAAAAAATCAGATCATCAGGACATGATAATTCATGCTAATGAATTTGGGTTTTATTCTAAGTACAGGGAAAAACACCTAAGTGTTTATCAAGAAGAGACATGATTTACTATAATGTGCAAATGATCATATTGTAGGGAATGAATTGGAGTGCATTTAGGTGGCAGCAGAAAGATGAAAGGAACCTTGGTAGAACAATTATTAAGTGCTTGGCTGCTAATTGTAAGATCAAAGGGAAGAAAGAACTAGGGACTTCACAAAGTTTACAGCCTAGGAAATCCCATGGGGCAATTCTACTCTGTCATTTAGGGTCGCTCACTACAAGACAATATTGACTCTACAGTACTCAACAAAAATAAGGAAGATGAAGAGGAGAAATTTTCAGTTATTAAAGAAAAGAGAAGGAAGTAGATTGAACTTGTCATAGATTGAATTTTGTCCTCTCCAAATAGCAAAAATTTTGAAAAGCAAAGATATCAGTTTGAGGACTAAGGTGCACCTGACTCAAGCCATGGTATTTTAAATAATTCCGTATGCATGCAAAATATGAACAGTGAATAAGGAAGACCATAAAAGAATTGATGCTTTTGAGTTATGGTGTTGGAGGAGAATATTGAAAAGATCATGGACTGTCAAAAGAACAAATAGATCTGTGCTGGATGAAGTACAGCCAGAGTGCTCCTTGGAATCCAGGATGGCCAGACTTTGTCTCTCATACTTGAGTCATATTGTCAGGAAGGACCTGTTACTGGAGAAGAATATCATGTTTGGTAAGGTAGAGGGGTCAGAGACAAAGAGGAAGACCCCCAGTAAGACGGATTGGCAAAGTGGTAGCATCAATGGGCTCAAGTGTAGTAATGATGGTGAGTTTGGCCCAAGATCAGGCAGTGTTTCGTTCTGTGGTGCATAGGGTCCCTATGAGTTGGTACTGACTTAGTGGCACC